AAAGGGGTTTGAGTTGCTTACCTTCTCTTAGTAATTCTCTTGTGTGTGTTACCCCTGAACCCGTGCATGACTCAGTCTCCCTTTTGGTTTTAAGGTCCTCTAACTCTTGCCTCAACATGCTGTTTTGTTTGCCGTCCTAGCAGGGAGGGTGAACTGGTTCAGCTTCACTGTAGCAAGTCCCAGCCTGCTTTTCAAATGGTAATTACTTCTCCAGTTTTCTTAGATGGTCAAGTTAAAGAAAGCTGAGCTTAACCCTGTCTCAAAAAACCAAAAAAAATAAAAAAATAAAAAATAAAGCTGAGCTTTATCAACCTAGAATACAAGTTCGTTCTAAAAAACACGTGATAAGCTATCACTAGCTCAAACTGATGAAGACTAAAAGAAATCCTGCCATTATTTCCCATTTCTCCATCTTAGTGTAACTGCCTAACATGACATCTTACCATACATGACACTCTTAAAGCTAAAACATGCTGAACATGGAAGTGTTGGCATTGGAATTAGACACCAGATGGGGTGTCTGACTGGTCAGGTTGTCATTACCTACCAAGGCACCGGATAGAATTTCTCAGCACGTGACTAGGGTTATGAGGCTTGAGAAATAGTGGCCACAAACATATTTGAGAGAAGACTTGGAATTATGGGACTAGAATATAGAAAATGGAACTCAGAAAAGTAATAGGAGTTGGAAAATAAAATCAGAGCGGAAACTAGTCAGTGCCATAAGAACCAAGGTAAGAAAGTAGTGTTAACATTGAAGGAGCTTTTTAAATGTTTGTTTTGATTTTTTTGGGGAGGAGTATTTTTGTTTTATCTCTTCATTGAGCTTTTTAATCATTTCTTGTGGGCTTACCCACCAAGGCCATTTCAGTTCAAAATTAGTTGGAGCTCTTGCCACCCAGGTCAGTCACTGATGGAATTGGGGACAGAAATGCAGCTGATTGGAGACCTATGCCATGCTTACTATCTTAGTCACTGTTCTATTGCTGTGAAGAGACACCATGACCAAGGTAACTCATAGAAAGAAAAGCATTTAATTGTGGGCTTGCTACAGTTTCAGAGGGTTGGTCCATTATCATTTTGGGTCCCCATGGGCCTGTAGGCATATCATAATGCAAAAATGCATTCAGTCCAATTTCAAAAGTCCCCATAGTCTTTCATACTCTCAAGACTGCTTAAAAGTCCAATGTTTCTTCTGAGACTCGTGGCAGTCTCTTAACTGTAACCCTCTGTAGAATCAAAATGAAAAAGCAGATCACATGCTTCCAACATACAGTGGCACAGAATATACATTACTGTTCCAAAAAGGAGAAAGGGGAGCATAGTGAGGAGATACTGGACCAAAAACAGCAGGGCAAACTCCAGACTCTGCATCTCCATGTCTCATAGCAAAGCACTTTTCAGATCTCCAACTCTTTTCAGCTTTGTTGACTGCAACACACTTTTCTCTCGGGCTGGTTCCTCACCCTGTTGGTGTCTTTCTTCAATGGGCATCACACTACTCTGGCATCTCCAATATCTTGGGGTCTCCAACACAATCCAGGCTTCACCTCTATAGCTTCTTGCAGTGGTCTCTTTGGACCTCCATGCAGGGACACCCCTGACACACACTTGGCCTCATTGTCTTTCCTAGAGGGAAGATTCCACAACTCCTTTCTTGTATCCTTAACTTTAAAGCCAGAACCATGGGGCCAAAGCTGCCAAGTGCTGCTGCTTGCTGGAGCTAGAACTTGGCCTCCTAATTCAAATACATTTGTGTCAGCTTTCTGTTGATGGTTCCCTTCACTGCTTAAGCTTTTCTTTAATTCCTTTTCCCAAATTGGAACCTTATCTGGGTAAGGCCTTGCCCTGAGGTCACCATTCCTTTTATTCATTTAGCATCAGGCTTTTCTTTAAACTTTTTATCTCCTTAAACACTGGACTTAGCTCCATTACACTTCCTGGTGCTCCTTTTCTCCTCAAACTGTACATTTTGTGTTTTTCCTTGCTCAGCTTGATCCTTTTCATTATAGGTCTGCATAAGAGTGACCACAAATAACCACAGGACAGAGTCAATACTAGTCTTGAAATCTATTCTGACAATGCTAATAATGTAAAAATTCTTCAGTTTAGCCTTAGACAGACTTTTGGACAAGGACAGAAAACAGACATAGTCTTCTCCAAAATATCACAAGAATAGCCAGGCAGTGATGGCACATGCCTTTGATCCTAGCACTTGGGAGGCAGAAGCGGGCAGATCTCTGTGAGTTCAAAGCCAGCCAGTGAGTTCCAGGACAACCAGGGCTTTACAGATCCTGTCTCAAAAAAACAAAAAAGGGAAAAAAAAGATCATAAGAATGGTGCGTAGGCCACTTACTAATATTCTTCTCCATTGAAACTTTGAGCTGAGAGGTCATAGTCTACATTGCTCTCAGCTCTACTGTCTTCCATGTTCCTACCATGATGACCCATTAAGCCCTGCTTAAAGTGTCCAACCAGTTTTCTTGTCCCAAGTTCCAAAGTCTTCCATACTCCTCCAACAAACAGCATGGTCAGGCCTAATGCAGCAATACAATCCCTGGTACCAACTTTTATCTTAGTCACTGTTCTTACTGTGAAGAGACACCATGATCAAGACAATTCTTATAAAATAAAGCATTTAATTGTGGACTTGCTCACAGTTTCAGAGCTTAGTCCATGATTATCTTGGTGGGGAACACGGTGGCATGTAGGCAGACATGGTGCTGGAGAAGTAGCTGAGAGTTCTGCATCCTAGTTCTTAAGCAGAGAGAGACAGACAGACTCTGGGATTGGCATGGGCTTTTGAAACCTCAATGCCCACCCCCAGTGACACCCTTCCTCCAACAAGCCCCCACCTCCTTATCCTCCTCATCCTTTTAAATGGTGCCACACTCCCTGGTGTATAAGCATTCAAATATATGAGCCTATGGGGAGTATTCTTATTCAAACCACCACTGGGAGCATGGCAGTACACAGGCAGGCATGGCCCTAGGGCTTTACACTCTCATCCACAGGCAGTAGGGAGAGAGAGCTTGGGCCTGCCATAGGCTTTTGAAACCTCGGTGACACACTTCCTCCAACAAGGCCATGCCTCCTAATCCCTCTAATCCTTTCAAACAGTTCTACTCACTGATAACTAAGCATTGAAATATATGAGCCTATGGGGGCAGTCTTACTCAAATCATCACACTCACTTTGCCATTCACCAGAGTTCTCTTGTGTTTGAACCTTATTTATTTGTTTGTTTATTTGGGGTTTGGTTGGTTGGTTGGTTGGTTGGTTGGTTGGTTGGTTGGTTGGTTTGGTTTTTTGAGACAGGATCTCCCTATGTAGCCATGACTGGCCTAGGACTTACTATGTAGACCAGGCTAGCCTGGATCTCAGAGAGCTCCTCCTGTCTTTGCCTCACAAGTGCTGGACTAAAGGCGTGCACCATCATGCTCAGCACTTTAATTTCAATGCTCTTTTTCTCACTCTCAAAAAAGAGGCTCGAGACAGAGGTTTTCCTCCGACTAAGTTAAATTGAAAGATCTCAATTGAAATGGGTAAATTTTCAAACATATAGGATACTAGGATAATAAAAGAATCTTGAGTTTCCAGCATTTTGGGGGTGCTTGTGTACCCTCTCTTAGTCGTTTGTAATAACACACCACACGGCAGCCTCTGGTAAGCTACTCGCCCTCCCTCCTGCCGTCGAGAACATGAATGACATGAGCTTGCCTGGACTTGACTGCTTCCTTAGCATGTGTTGTTTATTTTCAGATAGACTGAAACATGTAATGTTGTTAGCAAAGCTTGTTGAGTCAGCAGAGGCGCTAGGCGTATAGTTCAGTGGTCGAATGCTTGCACAGCATGCACAAGACTCTCGGTTCAATACCCACTATGCCAGATGGTGTTATTGATCCATTACATGTTTATGGTGGAGAAAAACTAGAAGAAAATTTCTGAGATACTCTGTTGTCAACTCCTGGAGTCTGAATCTAGGTTTTCATCATTATTTTAGACCTTTATACTTGGTGGGGGAGTCTATAGATAGATATTTGATACCTTTTCGATTGCTAGCTCTAAACAGTTACCCGTCTGCTAGTTAACCAGCACAGGATAGCAAGTCCCCTGAGTTGTGCTCTGTTCCTGTGCCTGAGTTTCTTGGTCAGGAGAGGGCGTCAGGAGAATGTGTTAAGAAATACTTCCTTTCTCTTGCTTTAGCTCAGCCCCAGACTCAGTTAGAAAAGCTGTTGGGAGGGTCCAGAAGAAGGGAATTTGCCTCAGGGAAGAGTCAGATGAGCGTTGGGTTTCCATCACACTGGGGCATCTCAGTTTTTCGAGAACCAAGTCCTGTTCGTCCTTCTCCTTTTCCGCACATGTTAACCCTTTCCTTTCTCCTCCTCCTTCCAAGAGGAGATATCCTGCGCATCCTGTTCACTAGACAGTCAGTGGCTGCTAGTCCTAGTTACCAGACGAGGCGTTGTCAACAGAATCTGTCTTTGAAGGAGAACAAGGAAGGGGGGCCCTAGGTGAGCACGCCTCATAGAGGTCAAATGTCCCCAGCCTTGTGGGAACCTGCTGGCCATCTTCCTTTGAGGGCTCCTGGGTTCCTTGTACTTATATCGGGAGCTTCAAGTATTGTCATAGAAACTCCCATTTGTTATAAATGTTTTATTTATGTGAATGGATTTGATCCTCTTGAGTAACAGGAAGTAGCTAATAGATGAGGAGACTAAGGCAAAGATTGGTGTCTTGCCCAAGACACAAGAGCTAGGAATGAGCCCTAAACAGTTTGTCTCCAAAGTCCATTCCTTGAGAGCCACCAAGCTTATAGTTATTTTCATTTATGGAAGTTCCATTTTTACCCCGAGTTCTGGGAAGATGTCAGGCATGAGAAGTCAGTTCTGGCAGAGTTGGCACCCTCTTCATTGTGCCTCAGCATTATACTTACTCCTCGGTGTGTTAGCTCTTTGATCTTCAGTCAGACACCACCCCACCCACCTTCTCTCTTCTAGTGCCGAGGAATGTAAGCAAGTTTGCTGGGCCTTGCGAGACTTCACCCGGTTGTTTCGATAGCTCACGCTCACACTCCTGCACTGTGCCTGTCGTCCAGGTGAGTTGATATGCTTCTAGTTCTTTCTGGGCTGCTGGGGAGGCTTGAGAATGGGGCTATGTTTAAGGCTCATAGCTCAAATCAAAAACTTAGTGTTCAACTATCTCAGCAGCTGGGGTGTCCAGGACCTTGATTGTCTTGGGCCAGGGCAGGCAGATCATCCATGTGTCTAGATACCATTTTCCACTCCATAGAGGGTAACTGTTGCAGAATGCACCAGAAAAATACCTTCCCTCATAGCTTCTTCTAGCCTGAGAAGTGTGTATAACAATCACGACATTACTTTTGAACCTCTGCTGCTTTGCTGAGAACAATGGTGACCATAATTCCTGGCACTAATCTTCTAAGGCAGACTTGCCAGAATTAATGTGTGAGCAGCTTGTTCTTACTGTCTCTACGATTGAAATGCCAGGGAGGTGCAGGAAAGCAGCAGTCCCTCTAGATGCCTCCTGATGGTCAGCTTTCTGTATATGTGATTCTGAATCCCTTCTGATTCTGAAGCTAAGCAAGCTCAGCTAAGGAAAGGAATGACTAGGTGGTAAAATGGGCTTACCAGTTTATTGCCTAGATAAAGAAGGCAACTCTCTAAGCTCGCCCTTTGACACTCTAAGGAGCATTCACTGACCCACCCAATAGGCAATATTCTGAATCTGCGGCACTACTGGTTGTTTCTGTAATGAATGCATTAGTAGGTCAAGGTGATGTTCAGTAGCGTCTACCCATACCAAAATTACCTAAAGGTCAGTTGTTAAGTGAGTAATAACATCATCTGAGGTGGTCGGGTTTCATGTGTCTGAGAGCTAGCACTGATACACCTAAAAGGTTGCTTGTAGGCAGCTGTAGATGCTCATGTAGTGTTCATGTTCATCAAGCCCTGAGTGTCAGGTACCATTCCTGTGTGTTGAATGCATTGACCAAAAAAGAATCTTCCTACAGGGTTCTGCTTCTGTGCTCATTTTACAAAGAAGAAAATTGAAAGTCAAAGGTGGTTGACACTCTGTTAAATGCTAGGACTTTTTAGAAGCTAGGAGAGGAGGAATTCAGGGGTAGGGTTCTGGTACCGGGTTCCTCACTTTTTTTTTTTTAGCCATTGTAATAGATGATACATCTCTTCAGCACTCTTTCTATAGAGTTTAAATCATTGTTAGTAAACAAAGCTCTCTTTCAAAACTAAATCTTACATAAAAACCTGATATTTAACCGACTAAAGTAGAGCTTTTCTGGTGGTTTAGCATGGAAGGCTCAATTCTGTTGGCCTCCTCCCAGCCTTTACATCATCCTTAGTGTCTGCAGCTCAGCACGGGAGTTTTAGGGAAGTTGATGTTTTCTTGAAATTAATTGCAAGTTGGGGAAGGCCAAGCTTTGGTTTTGCTTGCTTGTTAACCAGAGTTCTGCAGCAGAGTCCACAGTGAGTGCCTGAGCAAGAGCATCGCCACTGCCTCAAGGCTGGGTTTCACCCTGCTCACTGTCTTCTGGAGCCCAGCTATCAACTGTCTCTTCTCTTTTGTCAGGAATGTCTTTTTTTACTAGAAGACAGGAAGAAAACAACCCAGACTGTGTCCCACAATCAAGAAAACTCCGGTGTGGCAGAGGGGCCTTCACTGCCGCCAGACAGGGAGAAACTTCAACCTCCTGAGGCATCCTGAGGAGTCCCTGTTTGGGGTGTGAGGGAGAAACAGCACGGTTTTTAAAGATGGCTGCAGCCTGTCCGGCGCGGTGGGAGGGGAACTAGTTTCCTGATGAACTTCTTTCTAAAAGGAAAAATAATTTAAGGAAATTTTAAAAAGAAAAAAAAAAGGAAAAAAAAAACAAACCAACACAGGAAAGCTGAGACGAAAGCAGAACTGTAACATTCACCTGGTAGCAGATGACCCACACACATGATAGACACACACCAGCATGAGTGCACACCCAGAACAGGAGTGAGGGCTTCCTGTGAGACAGGCATGTTACCTAAGGGATATGTGGGACTCAAATGAGTAACGTAGCTACAGTTGGAATTAAAGAGTCGGCCATCTCTCCTCTGTTCTCCTTCCCTAAAACACAGATGACTAGAAGGAACCCAGGCACACCCAGCTGTTCCACCTTTAGAGGTGTCCAGACAAGGCGCCTGTTCTGCTTACATCATGGTCAGGGAAGATAGTCAGAACTAGCCAGGGCCACAGTTGCTGTTCACGGAGCGCCCAACCCAACCCTGACCGTGTTGAATGCACTCCAGTTCACACTCGTCATCAGCCTGGGGGAGAAAAACCAAACCGGGCCGGGTGGAGAGGATACAGATGTGTATTAAATCTTTCTTTTTCTTCGTGAATTATTCACCCACAGACATAGGGGAAAAGAGACAAAAAAAAAAAAAAAGAGGGGATGGAGGAAATGTATTTACAGGACTACCTGTGTTTAATAAAAAGTGTGAAAATTAATTGACTTCTTGGGACCTGGGACTGAAGTGGGAAACTCAGAACAGATCTCAGTGAGGGAGTGTGGTCTTGCATTGCCATTAGATTACAAGGGCACAGTTCTGTCCTGTGGTGTAGCCATCTCAAGAATAAATCAACAGCACCAAAAAGAAAAAAAAAAAAAGGAAAAAAAAGACAAAAAAATAAAAACAATTTTTAAAATTTTACCAGTCTTTGTTTCTTTCTGTTTCCATTCACTTCCATTCACTACCTCATTGCTTCAAAATGACCCTGGCTAGTCCACCTACATTCATCAGCCTTCGTGGAGCCTAACAGGCATCCGAGCAGAGTGGAAAAGGCAGGTCCCGCCCTAGAGTCAGGCCTTTCAAGGAACTGCTGAGTCTTCTGTTCGAAGCTCCTCCTGCTGCGTCTCACCTTCCATGCAGCCTCAGTGGGAGTGAACTGTGCTCACGTCCTGTAGACGTGTGCACATAAACTGGGAGTGAACTGTGCTCACATACAGATATGCACATAAGCTTAGTTCAATCACCTTTGACATGATACACCCGTGAAATCATTGCCATAGCTAAAAAGATAGTGGACATATTAGTGTGTGTGATATATGCATATATGTGCATGGGAGCGGGGCACACACACACACACGGGGAGGCCAGAGGAGGGACATTTCTGTGGCCCTCTACTTTAAACCACCAATATCAAAACCTCATAGGCTGGGCAGTAGTGGCATACGCCTTTAATGCCAGAACTTGGGAGGCAAAGGCAGGCAGATCTGACCAGCCTGGTCTACACAGTGAGCTCCAGGACAGCCAGGGTTACACAGTGAAACCCTGTCTTAAAACAATGACAAAAAAACCTCACAGACCTAAGAAGTAAAAATTTAACCACCAAATACAATATCTTGGGTAGAGTCCTAAGACCAAAAGGGTAGGAAAGAGTTAACTAAAGTGTTAGTAGGAAGTGGAGGATGAAGGTTTCTATCTTGAGACAGGGTCTCACTGGCCTCAGAATGGCTCTGAGCTTGTCTTGTCTCGTCCCAGAGTTCTAGGAATATGTGTGTTCCAAACCTGGTTGTCTCCTTACTTAACTGTTGGTAGTGCTGGAGACAGCACGCAAGGCCTCCCATGGAAAGCACCCATCCTATAGCTGAGCTTACATCTCCAGGCATGTATTTTATTTTTTAAACTTCATTGTGTATGTATGATGTGGGACCATACATGTCACTGTGTACATGTGGAGATCAGAGTCTGATCTTGTGGAGTCTGTTCTCTCCCTCCACTTATATGTGGTTTCTAGACACCACACTCAGGTCAGGCTTGAGCACCATGCCTTTACTGACTGAGTTCATCGGTTCCATTTAGGTTTTAAAATTCTGCATAGCCCACGTAACCATATGAAAAGCTCCTCATACTTGCTCATAATAGGGAATGGAAATAAGATACAAGTTTTCACCTGCCACGTTAACAAAAATCACATTTGGGAGTATACTTATTGATGAGACATTCCTAAACACTCGTGGCGTTTTTGCCAGTGCCTAGCAAATGTGAAGAGACAAGCATGTGCAAACCTAGCTTCTTGGGCATTATTTTATTATGTGTATCTGTTGTGAAGGGGGATGGGAGTGTGCAGCACAGTGCACGTGTGGAGATCAGGACACCTTGTCTCCCCCTTTTACCATGTGGGCTCCTGGGATTGAGCTCAGCTCCTTGGGCTGGATGGCAAGTCCATTTCCTAGCTGCACCATTTCTCTGGCCCTCACTGTCTTATTTTATTCATGAATACTCATGAATCAGTAGTCAGAATCCAAACCTGAATGCAGTCAAGCCTTTGGACTCCAGAATCCAGCTCCAGCAGCATGCCAAGTATATCACCCAACAGGCACAATCAGGAACAAGGCTGTTTGGTCATTACTGGAAATGAAAACTTCTCTGACTGCCTTACATTTATGAACATTAGATTGTGTGTGGCTACTGCATGTGTTCATGTGACTGGGTGGGTACAGGTGGAGGCCAGTGGTGGACATAGTTGCTCTCATTCCCTGAGACGGTATTATAGAACCTGCACCCCACTGATTGCCTAGACTGGCTGGCCCTGGAGAGTCCCTTGTTCTGCCTCCCGATGACAACATATACATTAGTGCCTGACTTTTGTTTTGTTTTGTTCTTTGGTAACGTTGTTGGGGATCCAAAGTTGTATCCTGTCAGCACTCTCCTGACGGCCATCTCTCTAGCCCCATAAACTGGGTATTTGATTTTAAAAAGAAAAAATGTTGTCTTTAATAGCGGGGGATTCAGCTCAGTGCTAGATCACATCCTTAGTGCCCCCACCAAAAAATGTTTTAGGAGAATACGTGCTGGATATTTATACATGAAATGTTGTTTCTAGTATTTACTTCAAAATAACAGTAGGGAGCCTGGATTGGAGTAGCAATGAAAAAAGAAAACATTGTTTGGACTAGAAAATTATTCTTAAGAGCCAGATTCCAGTGATGAACCGCCAATTTTCGTGTAATATCCTAATGCTAGCACATGCATGAAGACAAGACTTATTTTTTAAACACGTTGCACTCTTTTAGGCAGGCTGTCCCAGACTGGCTTTGAACTCCTGAGTTTCCTGACTTAGCCTCCTCGGTGCTGGGGTTACAGGCAGGAACACCACACCCAGCTAAACCTTGTTCATTTTGAATGTGTGCTACATGGAATCAGACATGGCCGTGTGCAAGCACTCTGCCACTGAGCTACATCCCCAGCCATTAGGCTCATAGATTACCCCAGCACTTAGGAGATAGAGGCAAGGATAGAGGATCAGGGCTTCAAAGACAGCTTTGGTTAATACCACAAGTTTAAGGCCAGCCTGGTCTCAAAAAGAAAAAAGGATCCCAGATTTTGATGGTCTGAAGTGTAGCTAGAATCCAAATTCCTTTTTTACTCCCTTCTGGGACAACACACATTCAAAAGTCCACATCTGCCTCAGTCTGCTTCCTCGAAGCAGAGGCAGCCAGATAAGTGTCCGTGAAGGCCCAGCTGACTGCCTGACAGAAAAGCAAGGTCTCCCCAACCCTTGTACCAGGCACCTCGCTGGAGAGCAGGTGCTGAGGCAAGGCCAGTCAACAACTGAGCAGTCTGGTAGAACGGAGGAGCTGTTGGCCCTGGAAACAGTCACGAAACGGGCAAATCTGCTTTTAACATTTATTAATCCAAAAATATATTAAAATCTACTTTCTACCCCAGCTTCTTAGACTCTGAAGGAGGGCAGCTGTCAGCACAAGTGTCCAGTGATGTCCTTGTCAGAGGAAGATGAGAAAGGCACAAACTAGGGAACCCCCAAATCAGGCCCATTCTTTGCAGAAGCCCCACCAACACTCCTTGGCCCTTTTTGCTAGAGAAAGTGGGGCAACCATAAGAGTTGGCTACCCTGGGGTAACTGGACCTGTGTATCTAAGCTTCGGGCTAGTGATGTTCCCTCCCTCCCGCTGGGGCTGCTGGCCACATTTCTTCAGAGCCAAACAGATTAGAGAAATCACTGGAAGACAGTGCTCAGATCGAATTTTAGGGAGAATGTGGCCTGAGGCCTCTTGTATGTCCTTTTTGGCCCTACTCTCCTTTCAAGAGACTCAGAGGTAGAACCCTGCAGTCAGCCAGGCCTGCGGGGGCCACTCCATTGCCATGCCAATCTCCACAGTTGCTCCAGGAAGCCCAGGACAGCCACCATCTGCAGCCTTGTTACTGCATGCCAACTGGGTGCATGGGCCAGGGCCCTTGGCCAGCACCAAGGCCTGCCACAGGAGGGGCCTGGACCATGGGCTGCAACCGCTGCTGGGACTGCCAGATGTGATGGAGCTCTTTGAACTGCTCCACCATGTGGTCTTTGAGATCTGGGTTTGAGATCTGCAGCCGGATGCTGTCTGCTGACCAGGAAAGCTCCCCTGAGAACATCTCCAGCAGCAACCGGGCTGCAACTGGTACCACCTGGGGAGCAAAGGGAAGAGGGCATGGAGAATTGTTGCAGGGCTGTTCAATCAAGCTGGGCATGAAGACATCCAGAGGCAGATGGTGGACTGTCTCCTCCAGCCCTAGCAACCAAGTCCTCGTGGCCCGGAGGGCCCCACCTCTATCCTGGGCCAAAGATCCAGCCCCATGTCTCCTAATATTGAAGCTACAGCCCAGTTGGCTAGGGGCACACCTGTACAGTAATGAGCTTCTTCTCTCGGGGCTTGAGGTCAGGCCATTCTTCTCCAAAGCAGAAGAAGATCTCAAAAGGTGGTGGAGTGTTGGTCTGACCCTTCTGGAACAGGATGAGTTCTGCATCAAGATTAAGGCCTCTAGTTAGAGGTTAGAACCCTGAGTGAGGGACAGCCAGGAGGAGCATGGAATGGACCTCACCATTGAGAAACTGCTCTAAGCTAAAGAGCTTTGTCTTGACTTCTCGCTGGATGGGGTTGGGGCGTGAGCCATGGGCTAAGGCGCAGGGCCCACTCCAGAACACCTTACACTGGCACAGACGGATGGCATACAGGTCCTGGCCCTGCAGCTGGAGGATGAGCCCACGGTCCAGGACGTCTAGCAGCTGGTTTGTATAGAAACGCTGCTTGTCGCTGGGGATCTCCTCTGGGCTAGGGAAGCGCACTTGCTCCAGGCTCACGGGGCCAAAGAGTTCCACTTGTTCCTGGGTAGCCTCTAGCTGGCTATAGAAGAGCCTACAGCCTTGTGGGTTGCTAATGGTGAGGGCACGAGGCGGACGACCACGGTACTGGAACTTGATCTCCAGGTCAGTCACTGTGGAGCAGAGCATCGAGTTGCCCAGGCTGTGAGCCCCATGGCTCTTTGGGCAGTCAGGTGTAGGCCCAGCCTCCCCAGTTTATCCCTGGCCCAGGAAGACTGGCCTAGAAGCTTTTCTTTGTCATCCTTCCGTATCAACCCTGCCCCATCCCCACTACCGCTCTGCCCTGCCAACCTGCCCAGCCCACCAGAGTTCTTACAAGGCAGCATGTGGGGGCTGATGAGCAGGTCAGGCAAGAGTTGTTCTGAAGGAGGCTGGCTGGGAGCCAGCGGTCCAGGCTCCAGGTCCTCAGGGAGAAGCTGCCTGAAGCCAGCAGGGGTTCCAGAGGGAGGGGCCAGGAGATTTGGATCTGGGGCAGGGGGACCCAGCCCTACAGATGGCTGGAGAGCAGGTGGCCACTTGACGCCTTCTTTGGGTAAGGAGTAGGGTGCTATGGGAGGCCCAGGTAGCACAGGATCTGCAGAGGATGTGGTGAACACAGCTGTCAATGCCACCTTGAAGAACTCTTCCAGGCCTGACCCCCAGACTTGCCCCCCTATCCTCCCTCAACACCCTCCCAAGTACCTAGGATACCTGTCACTTCTTACACTAGACCCCCCTACCCGACCCCCAACCACACCACCTCCCAGCCCCACCTGTGATGGTCAGGCCTGGCAACATTCTCTGGAGCTGAAGGGAAAACACAGGCAGTGGATGAGGGAAGGCAGGTCAGGTTAGTAAACTGGCACGATGCCGAGAACACAATGCTCAACAGACACAGCTTCCGTCCAGTGGGGGCCAGCCCCCACTGCTGGTCCCAGATCTGCCATCTTCAGCAGGTCATGAGAGCTGTCAGAGTCCCCATTTCCAAATGTGCGTTCTGCAGGGAGCAGTACCCACCAAGCCTCACTGTTGTGGAGATCTGGTAAACCTGACACACTGTAACAACAAAACCCTAGGAGGGACGAGATGGGCACTCTGCCTTCTTCAGAATCATCAAAGGACAACCGGAAGAAGAGCTGCAGAAGAGCATGAGCTCCAGAGGAAAGGGCTGCTCAATCCTAAAGTGGGTCAGGGCAGCAGAGACCCCCACCAGGGCCAGCCAGCCCCATCAGCTTAGTGCAGGAGCTTGGTAAACACAGCCCCTCTTCCCACCACTCAGCCCCACACACCTCTTCCTCTTCCTCCTCCTCCTCTTCTCCAGGAATGTAATCATCAGTGGGCTGGGACTCTGCACGTTGAGGGAGACAGCAAGAGAGGGGGTCAGTGGCAAAACTGGGGCCGGGCCAGGCTGTGGCTCCATCTGAACAGCCAGAGAAATGGCCCCAATCTCCTGGGGTTCCATGATGCACAAAGCTGCCCAAGTACGGTTGAGTCAAAGGACCAAGCATCAAGAAGCAGGAGAGAGACCTCCCCCGAAGCCAGGAGCCCAAAACAAGGGCAGTGGTAAGGAGCAGCAGCCGGAGCCCTTGCCCCACTCCCAGATCCTCATTAGGAGCCCTGGGTGGTCGCACAGGGCCAAGCATCATACCTGTGGGAGCAGGACCATTAGAGCAGACCTCGTAGATCTTGTAGGGCTGAGGTGGCATGTCTCGAGGGCCGTCATAGAACAGACGGAAGTCACGGCTTTTGTTAAGCGCGCAGCGCAGGTTGGCCTTCCACTTGGCTGGGTCAGCCTCGTCCACCCCCTCGGTGTACTTCCCTGTCTCTTGAGCCCAGGCCTACGGAAGGAAAAAAGGACTGCAGAGTACAGGGAACTGTACCTGTCACGGAGGCCCCAGCAAGTCTCTTTTCCTACAGGAGTCACTGCTGAGAATTTGGGCCACCAGGCTAAGCCTTGCTAAGGCTTCGTCTGTGTTAGCTGGATTTGACCAAGCCTTGTCCAGCCCTCAAGAGTTCAGACAGGCTCAATGAAGTCTATGTACTGCTCGCTGCTGCTAGGAGGCCATAGGTACAACTCAAAGGAGCACAAGAAAACATGGCAGAGACGAGCTCGTGACTTGGAGCCAGGTTGGGTTTGGAGCCAGGCTGGGTTTGGAGCCAGGCTGGGTTTGGAGCCAGGCAGGCCAAATCAAGCTGCCTCTGTTTTGGACCCTCCTTGACAGTACCTGGAAAGACTCAGGGAGTCAAAGCCTTTAAAGTACTCCGAACTGTGCCTACATGTGGGTATGCTTCAACGACTGGTGTTATTATTCTTGTTGGTTTTGTTCTTTTGAGACAGGGCCCCATGTAGCCCAGGCTGGTCGTAAACTTGCTAAATAGCTGAGGATAACCTTGAACTCTTGATCCACCTGTCTCCATCTCCCAAATGCTGGTATTATAGGCCTGCAGCATCATTGTCATTGCTGTGTTGAGGATAGAACACACAGCCTCACACCTGCTAAGCACATTCTCTTTACCACTGACCCTCGACCTCCAACTGATCTTATTATTTTGCATGGCAATCTTGTGACGTCAGGATTATGTGTTTCTTCTCTTTAAACTAGCAACTTAATTCTGATAGAATTATATAGAATTTAGAAATATCCACACAAATTGTGGTAAGAATCAAGTATAAAAGCTAAAAAAATACGATTTCAAAGTTTTTTAGAATCAGAACCTCTTTGATCTAACGATTTTAAACTCCAGACTCCAGACCTAAACCCACCATTAAAACAAAGGGTAGAATTTAGGAGGAATTATGGTTTTTTTCCTCCTAACAGAGAAGCACAAACAGTCTGAAGTGTCCAAAAACTGAGACTAGGTGAGTTATACCGAATCCTTCTGGTGGCTACTCAGTGGTCACGCAAAGTGATGCAGACCTATGTTGGGAAGGAAAGCTAATCCTGATGCTGGGTGAAAAGACGTGGGTTATCAATCAATACATGTAGACCAGCGAAATGGCCTACACATGAAAGAAAGCACTTGCCACAGTGTTTGTAAGACCTGACGAGCTGAGTCTGATCCCTGGAATTCACACTGTGGAAGGAGAGAACCAACTCTTGCAAGTGGTCCTCTGACCTCCACACACATGCTGTGGTACTTGCGCACTCCTCACAGATAAGTAAATAAATAAGAAAAAATTAAAGCATACGTGTGGGTTGAATGTCTTGGCACACATCTGTCATCCAAGCACTTCAGAGGCGAGGACAGGAGGATCAGAAGTCTAAGGCGAGAATCAGCTATACATCAAGTTTGAGGCCAGCCTGGGCTATGTAAGAGTATTTCAAGAAATATAAAATAGGGCTGGAGCGATAGCTCAGAGGTTAAGAGCACTGGCTGTTCTTCCAGAGGTCCTGAGTTCAATTCCCAGCAACCACATGGTGGCTCACAGCCATCTAAAATTCGATCTGGTGCCCTCTTCTGGCATGTAGGCAGAATATTGTATACATACTAAATAAATAAATCTTTAAAAAAAAAAAAAAGAAATATAAAATAATAAATAAATAAAACATGGGGTGGGGCTGTCCCTAGTGGCAAAAAGTGTGCATAGCATGAGCAAGGCTGGCCTTGATCTCTAGCATAAAGATTTCCTTGAAAAGTCAGCTAGGCATGGTGGTACATACTTGTAATCCCGACATTCTGGAGGCAGAGATAGGAGGATTGCCACAAGTCTTAGGCCAGCCTAATCTACACAGTGAGTTCCAGGCCAACCAAGACTACACAGGGAGACTCTATCTCAAAATAAAACACATTAAACATTCTTAAAATATGACTACGTTCCAATTTTGCCTCTCATATACTCATACAGAAACCTTAAGACATTACAATTATATATTCTATCGTAAAACTATTGTAGTAGGGCCTGTCCAGCATTAGGATTAGAGATTGTTGGACATGGCAGTACATGCTTTTAATCTCAGCCCTTTTGAGGCTGAGGCAGGAGGATTACAAGTTCAAGGCCAGCCTTGACTACAACAGAGAGTCTGGCCAGCTGGGCATTTAGTGAGACTAAAACTGAGCCGGGCGGTGGTGGCGCACGCCTTTAATCCCAGCACTCAGGAGGCAGAGCCAGGCGGATCTCTGTGAGTTCGAGGCCAGCCTGGGCTACCAAGTGAGTTCCAGGAAAGGCGCAAAGCTACACAGAGAAACCCTGTCTCGGAAAACCAAAAAAAAAAAAAAAAAAAAAAAAAAAAAAAAAAACTGAAAGATTTGGTGTTTAAAAACTGAGTTGGTGGCTTCACTCATGTGTGTACTAACTGTGTGTAACAGTGAGTCAAGAGCAAGGAGCATTACAAGGAGTTACAGGAAGGTCCACCCTGCTCTCGGTTACAGGTTAGAAGAGGTGATCCTGTGCCTAGGTGTTGGATCCCCTGAGCCCTGTAGCGGGCAGAATGGACAACCTCCAGGAGATGATTGTGAATCTCTTTACTGGGGAGGGGCTGCCCCAGAGGTCTAGACAGCACCTTATACAAGGCTTACCTTGAAGATGGTGTTGTCTCCATCCTGGCTGGGACCATGCCTTGTGGCATGGCGCCAGGGGATATAGAAGAGTTTCCTTTCCCCATTGACCCACTGAAGCCCTGGGTACTGGCAGCTGTTCACCTGGGCCACCAACCAGGGCTTCAGCCTCACGCGGCGTGGTGGTGGGGCAACCCCCGGGGCTGGCTGGTTCATGGCAAAGGGCTCTGCAGGAGAAAGCAAAGTGGAGTTCAGCAGATTCACAGCAAGATGCTCCATGCCCTGGGTGGAGGAGTCATGGGGATGTCTCTCCAGTCCATTTGGGTATCTGAGGTCAAGCCCGCTTTTCAACCCTCAGCTTTCTCGACAAGGCTCACTCAACCGATGATTTCTGTTAGGGGAGAAGGAGATTTCTGTGCTAGTGGGTACTGTGGGCCCCTTCCTTCAATGGACCATCTGTTTTCCAGGTACGATCAGTACCCAGCTGCTGCTTTACTGAAGAATCACCCCAGTTGTCCCAGGTGAGGCCACCCATCACTCTGGAGTCACACACAGTCAAAGCTGGCTCCCTTGCATGGCGGTGGGCTAACGGGGTGATGGGCACTGGGGTTGGCTCTTCCGCCATGCCCTCTCCCTCTTGTCACTGCTCAGCCTTTCCCTCTGCAGCTTACTCAAACTCCTTCCCCCGAACTGCCCTTCCCCATCCCCAACAAATCCTCTAAACGAGTCCTACCTCAGGCTTCTGACAGAGGCCAGCTTCAGACAGAAGCAGACGGTGTGGATGGGGTTGGGGGTGGGGAGTTCGTACCCAGCTCACAGAGCTCTTCCATCACTTTTTGGCCTTTTGGCTAAGACCACGTGTCACACTGGTATTCCTCCTCAGTGTCTCTCAGGGGTGACGCTTTCTTCCCCCTTGACCTCTTTATAGAAACCCCACTAATCCACTCAAATGGCACTGGGCACCCAGCTTAAATGGCACCACCCTGAAGCCATCCACGTCCTAGCTTCGGTTCCTGCTGCTTTTCTCACATCGTTCGGTGCTCAGGAAGCCTCTAGAGCAGAGGTTCTCACCTTTCCTAGTGCTGTGACCCTATAATACAGTTCCTCACGTTGTGCTGACCCCCCCCATAAAATGAGTTTCCTTGCTACTTCAGAGCTGTAATTTTGCTACTGTTATGAACTGTAATGTAAATCTCTGCTATGCAGGATATCTGACATGTGACCCCTGTGAAAGGGTCATTTGATCCCCAAGGGGGTCACAGCCCACAGGTTGAGAAATACTGCTCTAATGTTTACAGACCTGGGTCACACACATGGTGGCAGGAAGTGCAGCCCAAGGCCTACCAGCTCCCCACTGGAGGCAAGCCCTGCACAGGCCACAGTCTCTGCCTCCCTAGAGTTAGGTCCCCAGGACACACGCACCCTGGTTGGTGCCCTCCCCTTCACCTGCTCACTCTCTTCTAGACAGAACCTGAGACTTAAAACAGTCTAGCGCTCCCTCTTACCCGTCCTCAATCCTGGGAAGGTCTCACCTTCCCCTGTCCAGGCCTTTGGTCTTGAACTCTTGAACCCAGAGTCAGAGGCAGAAAAGAGGGAGGCCACTGGGCCACCAGCTCCTTAGAAAGGAGTCACTGTTCCGCAAGTTAAGGAATAAAATTGATCAGGCTTGTTTGGGTTTTGCAGTATGGAGCCTCAGTTTCCCCTGCAATCCCCGACCCAGTATCTTTTGGGTTGTGGCTGCTACATGCCACATCCAGGCCAGCAGAGTGTCGCTCTACAGACTTGAGAGCAGTGCATAGCTCAACTGTCAGTGACCCGTGAATAGTAATGCCAGCTTTGGACAGCGAGGGTGGAAAGGCTCCCTGCCCTGCCCCCAAGCCTAAGAAGACAGTGGCTTAGTTCCTCTTTCGACACCAGCCTCCACCCTGACCTAAGGGAAATGAAAGTGGCCTAATGGGACAACTCAGAAATCTGACTCACTGGGCCGACTTGTGGGCTGACGGAGGGAGGGGACATAGAGACTATTCGTGAGAGTCTCTGCAGGCCCATCTCTGGATCATTCCCTGGCTCTAAGCCTACCGACCTTTACCTGTGTCTCTAGTTATAGCCCTCAGGAAGCTCTGATCCTAGAATGGAGGGAGCAGCTGGCCGTTCTGACCACAGGAAAGTGGACACCAGGATAGGCAAGTTACTCTGAAGACCCCCCCCCCAACACACACACACACACACAGTCCAGACTGTAGCTGGCCAAGGGTGGTATGAATAGGGAGACCAGAAGGACTCACTCCCCTGCTCCATGCCTCAGGGATCAAGGAGCCAGGGACCACTGCGGCTTTCTGCCCCAGCCTGATGTTTAATTCAGAGAAAGGTTTTGAAATTGTTACTCTGGCCTCAGTGTTAGGAAGGGACAGTCCCTTCAGATGGAGTAGGGACACAGAGAAAAGACCCCCCAGCAAGCCAGGCCACCAGGGCCAAGAAAGGGTGCATTCACTTAGCCACAGAAGGTTCCACCTGCAGCTAGGCCCACTGGATCCTTCCCCTGAGTAGGACCAACTTCAGCATCCATCCCCCCAAAAGATCCCTTCTCCCCAAGAGAAGGCTTAGATCTGAGTCTGATCCTAGGTCTGTCTGTTCTCAATTCCAGGGTCTAAACATGGCTGCCTTCTTCTGGGTTTGGAGGAAGATGGACGCAACACCCAGACTGAGATGTGTGACTATCAACCTGTAAAGGAGAAACCGACAGAGCCCCACCATTTCCACGGAAGTGTCAAAACGGGTACAGCCTGCTGAAAACCCGAGGGAGCATCCCACATATAACTAGGCAGGATGCATCCTGAGAAGCAGTCCTTGAATTCCAGCTGGGATAGGGAGTCCCCCGCAGCTCACCCCAGGGTCCTGAAGTCCCAGGAGAGGCCACCTGGGCAGTCAGATCACTGAGAGCCCCCGAGGGCTGGTGGGGAGATGCTGCCATAACGGGAGTAATAGAGGCAGAACTTCAAACCCCACATCCAGTTCAAGGAACCTGCAAGGGGTTACCTGTATCAGCCTAAGTCCCGCCCTCTCCAGGTGAGTGACACACCCGGGCCCTGCCCCTACGGAGTGCAGACAGGCTTGAGATTCTGGGGCAGCAGGTGCGGCAGGAAGAACCCTCTCTCAGCTTCCTCCCAGGGGCAGGTTGGGGGAAGGCCAGAGTGCAAGGGAAAGCCCCGAAGCAGCACTTTTAGTTATAAGGGGTGGTTTCCTACCTCTTTCCTAGTCCTAAACCAGGAGCGTAAGGAGTAGGGACGGATACAAGGCCCCCAGCTTCTCCAGCCTCCTCCGTCAGCCCAGCAGCCCACGTCCTTTCTGGTCCTATTCACTTATCCCCACACTGGAGTCCAGGCCAGGCAGGTCCCTCGTGATCATCCCTGCAGACTCCACCCGGGACAGAACGTGGGGGCTCTCTGAGTCAGCCCCTGAAGTCACCTCAGGGTTCTGGCTTAGTATCCGTTCCTGGACCGTTCCTCTGGTTGGGGATGCCCCATTCTGCTATGCCAAGAGGAGGTTAGGGAAGTCCCAACTTCCACCCCTGCTCCTAGGTACCCGCTCTGGGCCCTCTAGGGGTTTGAGGCACACCTGGGGTCTGGGAGACACCCGCGCTGCGGTTGGATGCCAACCCAGGCCATCTCCCCGCCTGCGTTGCGGCCACACTGCTAACACTTCTCCACTTTCAGATTCTTAGTTGTTTCCTTCTTAAGTTTAGGGGCAGGCCGTCAAGAAACCAGACCAAGCATTTGCGCCCCTGATTCTTCTTGATTGCTAAGAAAATTGGCGTCCTTTTGGAGCCACGAGTCAAGGGGTGGCGCCACTATTTGACACCATCTTCCCCCAGTCCCTGTTTCCACAAATTCCTGTCCTGGCGTTTAAGATCCTTGGGAGGGGTGACTGCTTGAAACCTCAACCTCTTACTCGAAAAGGTGAGTTGCGGCCGGCCGGGGAGGAAGGACGGGCTGTGCGCCGAAAGGATCAGGGCCGGAGCCTCGCTCCTCGGTGCCAGACTGCGGCCCTGCGCCAGGGCGCTTCGCATCCTTGACCCTGGCCAGGCGCAGCGGTGATGCGCACTCGTCCCTCGCCTCTCCGGGCTTTCCCCGCGCCGGTGGGACGATGGCGGCCGGAGCCCTGCACTACGGGCTGGCCAAGGCGTGGGGCGCCTTGGAGACGTTGGCGTCGGTGGGCGCTGCCTGCGATGAGCGTCCACCGCGGAGAAGCGGGATCGCGACCCCGCCGGCCCTCCTGGCAGGCGTCCCCGGGGGGCGCAGGCCGCCTCGGGGGGGAAGCAGTGCCTCGGCAGTAGCTCGGGACGGTTCCCACCGCTCTCCGGGCGCGGGACCCAGCACAGCCCACAGCTCCCGGACCTACCTGTCTGCGGTGCGCCCGCGGGGAGCCAGGAGCCCCGGCCGGGCGCTGCGGCCGGTCTGAGCCCTCGCCGAGCTGCGTCTCCCGCCGGTCGCCGAGCCCGCCCCGCACTTCCGCATCGTGCCGCCCCCGCCTCGGGCAGAGCCCCGCCCCGCCCCACGCAACCACCCCAGGTCCCCTGCACCGACCCGGCCACCGCCCACCGCGAGGAGCGCTAGCCAGGCCCAGGGCCTCGCCGACCTCGTAGACAGCTCGGCGGCCCGCACGGGGCTCCTTCGGGAATCCGGAGACAAAGTCACCCATCGCCCGGTCCCCAGACACCCGGTAGCCCGTCCCCACCCACCCGGTCCGCGCCCGCCTGGAGCTGGAGACCCGCTGAGCACAGGCGTCAATGGAGCCACACTCCAGGGCGTTTGGAGGCGACTGAAAGCCCCCCGGCCCTCCGCTCCCTGTTTCCCACCGCGACCAAGCCGCAGGCTGCGGTACCCGGAACCCCCTTTCAGCATACCCTGGGTCACTGTCTCTCTTCAGCCTACCAGCCGGCTCCGACTCAGTATGTGGCTGCTGCAATCCCGCCTCTTCTTTGGCCCCGACCATCACCATGGGTTTGCATTTGAACTTTTTTTTTTTTTTTTTTTCGGTTCCATAAACCCGCCTCGCTGCTGATGCCGGCCTCAACCTCCACACATCCTGTTCATGTAAGAACGTTCTTCACTCGCTGACTCCCACTCTTCAACTTTTGGGTCCTCATCACATTATCTGGGAGGCTCGGTGGCTTTTCTGGAAGGTTCTACGCTTTGAGTCAGCTTCTGGTTGTGTTGTGTTTGGTGTTGTTGTTGGTTTGTTTGGGGGTGGAGGTGTAAATCAAGGGGCAACTTCTCAGAGTCCTGGGGATTGAACTCAGTTTGTCTTGCTTTGTGGCAAGTGCCTTTATCCAAGCAATGATCCATTTCACAGGTCCCAGTTTGTGATTTTAATGTCTGATTTCCACTGAAATTCAGCTTAATGAGGGACCAGTCCTGTCTTGCATCATTCATGATCTATAGTAATTTTTTTAAATTTTTTGGGGGGGTTTTTCGAGACAGGGTTTCTCTGTGTAGCTTTGCGCCTTTCCTGGAACTCACTTTGTAGTCCAGGCTGTCCTTGAACTCGCAGAGATCCGCCTGCCTCTGCCTCCCGAGTGCTGAGATTAAAGGCGTGCGCCACCACCGCCCGGCCTGTAATTTTTATTTTTATGTTTATTTGTTACTGATGATGGACCTTCACATGCTTGGCAAGTGCTCTGCCACTAAATATCTGCCTGCTCTGCCCATCACCATTTTAAAAGGTTATTGTGTTTGTTTTGTTTTGTTTGTTTGTTTGTTTGTTTGTTTCAAGACAGAGTTTCTCTGTAGCTTTGGAGCTTGTCCTGAAACTCACTCTGCAGACCAGGCTGGCCTCGAACTCACAGAGGTCCACCTGTCTCTGCCTCCAGAATGCTGGGATTAAAGGCGTGCGCCACCACCGCCTGGCGGACTTTTTCTTTTCTTTTTTCTTTTTTTAGGAAGGAGATATGTTGCCTATGCTGGTCTCCAACTCCTGGAATCAAGCAATTTTCCTGGTTCAGATTCTTTGAGTAGCTGAGATTTCAGGTGTAGCATCACAAGAAGCTTAACTGAACATATATATATATATATAATTGTATATATATTTTACCATCTTAATCCTTTTTAATGATTTATTTATTTTTATTTTATGTGTATGAGTATTTTTGTCAGCATTATGCACATCTCTGCAGTGCCTGCAGAGACCAGAAAGGGGAGTTAGACCTCTGGAACTGGAGTTACAGACAGTTGTGAGCCAACAGGTGGGTTCTGGGAACTGAACCCAGGTCCTCTGCAAGAGCAGCAAGTGCTTTTTTTGTATGTTTATCTGTGGGTGCACATGAGCATGCATAAGTCAGAGGACAGCTTGTGGAGTTATTCAGCACCCTCCTTCACCATGTGGCCCAGGGGTTAAACTAAGGTTGTCAAGCTTGGCAGCAGTCTCTTTTGCCTGCTGAGCCATCTTGCTAACATGTCCCACCCTCGTGGTTCACTTTCAGATAGCAAATAAAATATATACGTTCTAGATATGCTGTTTACCCTTTACATTTCAGAGTCTTGAGTTGCTAACAGACACAGTGGCATTGTTTAGCTGAATTAGAATTTTGGCTTCTTTGTCCACCTCTGCTGGCTTTCCAGGAATGTCTGGACTGGGCTTCAATGAGTGGAAAGAACCTTGTGGGTTTATTTTGCGTTTCCTTCTCCCTGTATGTCTCCCCTCCCCTCACTGTAGCCCGAATATAAAGTGGAAATATGTATTATTTGTATCTGCCGAATACAGCGCTATCTCAGGCATGCTAGGCACTCTACCATTGAGCCACACCACCTTCTGTTTCATATTTTTAAATTTAAGCCACATGTGGATCCAGTTGTGTGGCACTCCCCTAGCACAGGGCAGCCAAGACCTAAGCCAACCTTGAACTGCAGAGAGAGACCTTTTCTCGAAAAGTAAGTAGTGAAAGGGTGAATGGGTCGGTTTTCTTTCTTTTTTTAAAAAAATTCCATTCATTCTTTCAAATTTCTTTTTATTGCATTTATTTATGTGTGTGCATGTTCCTGTATGTATGTGTGTATGCACACAAGCATGCAAGCCGCAGCGTAAGTGTGGAGGTCAGAGGACAACTTTCAGGAGTTGGTTCTCTCCTTCCACCATGCGGGTCCCGGAGATTAAAATCAATCTGTCAGGTTTGGTGGCCAGTGCCCTCACCTGCTGGGTCATCTCTCCAACCACCATACCACCTCTTCCCTCCTCCTCCGATTCCTTCTCGTCCCTCTCATCTTAATAAGAGAGAGTTACTATGCAGCCCAAGCTGATGTGGAACTTGCAACCCTCTTCTCTCAGCCTCCAGAACGCTAGCATTACAGGTGCCACCACATCAGACTTTTTCACTAAAACAGAGAACATCTTAGGCAGGCATGAGCAATCCCAACATGCAGCAGGGTGCCAGAAGTTCCGCCATCATCCCTGACTATGTAGTGAGCTGGTGGCCAGCTTAAGCTACACGAGAGCCTGGCTCACGACAAACTGCTGGCTTCCTGTGGGGGCATTTCCTTGACACCCCAAATACTTGGAGGGCTGAAGAGAGGGTGGCTGAGAGTCCGAGGACAGAAAAACTGCTACAGAATTGAATGCTGTCCTCCACAAAATAAGAATCGCTTTCACTGGAGGTCAGTTACGGTTTGCTGTGGTAGGGACTGAACTTTGGGCAGGCTAGGCAAATGCTCTACCACGGGGCTGTGTGTATCCCAGCTCTCTCTTTTGTCTCTTGCGTTTAAGAGAAAAACATTCTGTTGGTTTAGAAATGTATCTGGGGTAATGGCCAAGAAAAGCCTTTTTACTGTCCAATGTTCCCAACACACAAACAGCCCTGGGGACCATGAGCTTCCAGGCATTCTGTACCCCGTCCCCTTCCCCTCTCTATTTTTCTCAGTTGAGGCTCCACCCGTAGAGCCTTGGAACGCCACCCAGAACCAGCAGGGACTCGGCAGCAGAGGCGCCATTCATAATACGCATCCTTGGCTAGACCTTGCGTGTCGGGAGGAAGGAAGGGTAGTGCTCGTTCAGCAAGCAGAACTCCAGCTCTTCCAAGAACGAAGGCTGGACTTCTCCCCTAGACTTCTTGCAGCATCACAATCGAAGGGGAAGTGAAGCCCCGCTCTGCTGCTCGAGACCAATCTCAGTTCCCCTTGCTCAGTCAGGGCCGGTGAGGGTGCAGAGAGACTTGGCCTGGAGCTCATGAGGAGCCCTGGTGACTCCCCACCAGTGACATGACCCTCTCACTCACTTCCTCTGAGCATGTGATAAGAGGTACGTTTATCTGCTTTGGGCAAAGCCATGGTATGAGTAGAGGCACAAAGTGGGTTAGAGGAAGCCATGCCACCAGAGGGAACCGAAAGAAACCCAGGGTGAACGATGACAGAAGGAGAGCGGAAGCACAAGGAGAAGCCAAACTGACTCCCACCACCGGCCCACTGCAGGTAGGGCCTGGGCGATGCCGGCTGCCTTTGCTGCCCAGCACCTCCCTACAGGAACCCCATTTTCTCTGGCCCAGGCTTTGCAGGGTCTCCAGGCTGGCCTGTTTGTCAGACATACCACATTTCTGAGAACTCTCTGAGCTGGACATCAGACTGAGTCCAATTGGGGATCGAATCCCAGATCTACTGAATCCCAGATCTACCCTCCAGGAAGTGTGAGACATGACACACCTCCTCTGCTGGACTCCCCTCTCCATAAAGTGAGAAGACACACCTCCTCTGTTGGAGGCCCCTCTCCATCTGTAAAGTGAGATGGTCCTATCCCTGTCACAGATGGAGAATGTCAGGTTGCTTGCTAAATCCAGCACCTTGCATCTGCCAGGACAGAGTGGTAAACAAATCTATTCTGTCCCAAACCCACTGTCCCAGAGCTTCCAGTCTACGGGTTGAGACAATTAGACTCAACCCCTGTCGGGTAGCACAGCTGGGACTAGTGTTGGGGGCCACCGCAGGGGCGGCCTTGCTCAGGGTCAGCGGAGAACTCAGAGCTGAGACAGATGTAACCCAGCTGCTCTGGCCTGGAACTTTCCAGTGGTTTTATGACCTGGGCTGTGGACGCTGCTGTCAGAGCTTCCTCTCTGTTTTTACTAACTGCTGCCTCCTCTGAGCCTTCTGAGGTATGACTCGGAAGTCCCCATTCAGTCAGAGCTGTCACATGGGCCCCTCCAGACCGTCGGTCCTCACCTTTGCCAACCCACACTCAGTCTCTCTTCCACAACCTGGGGCCTAGGAAGTCGTGCAGACACCACTTCATCCCGGGGCTGGCTCTCTGTCTTACTAAAAAAAGAAATGCTACTTCCCTTTCTTTCCCTGGCTGGTCGCCTCTCCTCTCCCTCATGTCCTGAGTGGACTCCATTTTGACTTTACCCCTTCGCCTGGGCCTGGGACTTGCCAGCTCAAGTTGGCCCTAAGCCTTCAGGAACCCACCCCCCGCCCCAACTCCAGTATTCCTGACCTCTTGGAGCTCCCGATTCAAACTCCCACATCCAGGGGTTTTTCATTATTCCCTTTAATGGCTGTGGCGGAGATGTCTCACTTTCCCCTGGGATTCCTCTCCTGTTGCCCTTCCTTGGGTTACTTAGCGTTAGCACCCTCCCCACCTTTGGCCTGCTTAGAAAGGCACCCAGACTCCGGTGGGTTAGTTAGATGGCCACCCTTCCCACACTCCCTGAACTTGGTCTTAGAATCTGCTAAACTCAGCATAAGCATTGCCCCACACACTTCCCTCCCCATCGCTGGACTCTGTCATCGAAGGGACAGGGCCTCCCTGTTGCCACCAGTCTAGAGGGCAGGCTGTGGTTCATGCAGCAGGTACCCGGGGAGGAGGAAAGCGGGGAGGAGGAAGTCCGGATCAAAACCTCAGCCTTCTGGGACCCCTGCAGTGGTCATGGGGGGCCCCACAGGAACCAGCCGAGGAGCTCCTCAGAGTGAAGAAAGCAGAGAACCTGGGAGCTAAAGGCCCCGGGGAGGCTTGCAGCCAGGCCCTCTCCTTTCTTTGGTGCTTTACAGGAAGAGGAGGGTGCCAGACCTCACTAGAGTAGACCTAGAGTTGAGCTCTTTGAAGGCCAGTGTCCTGCATCCTCGGTGTTTTTTGCAGTTTTCTAAGCTAAGATCCTGATGCCCAACCAAACTGTGGTGGTGTTGGGCACACTGGACCATGAACGAGCTGAAGGGCCTAGAGACTAGGGAGACCCTTTGCCCATGTGGGTGGGTCCTTCCAACAAGGCCTTTCCAGTTTCCCAGCCTCCATCTCCTCAACAGCACTTCCAAAGTCACAGAGGTGCTGCCAGGCCTGGATGGCTTGACCAGGAGCCATTTCTGGAAGATGGAGGTGCAGGGAGGGTGGGAAGAAAAGCCCCCCCCTCAGGCCTCTTCCAGAGGCCTCTATACTCCCCCCCCCCCCCCCCCCCCCCCCCCCCCCGCGCCAACTCTAAGAGCTTTTCTGTGCAGTAGCAGATTATAGGAGGCCCGGGCCTGAGACAGGAGCAAGGGCAAACACCCCCAGTTCCCTTGGGTCTTAGCAAGTTTACTCCATTCTGGGTGCCTGATGCAGTTCTGAGGTTCAGGGTGGGCAAAGCGACAGTACAGAAGCGGGGACCCTCGCACACGACAGCCTGTCCTAAACCACCCAGAAGCAAGCATGAGCCTGACACCTTCCCTTCACCCCCAACCCACACCCTCACCAGGGGGAGAGGAGAGAGAACTGCTGATGAAATCAGATGCTGGGTTTTGAAGTCAACTAAACCATAAGTGACATTTTAACCCTTTGGAGTCAGATAGATACACGATTACACTAATAAGATCTCAATATATGCCAGACACAGGTTAAGCTCTTCTGACATCTTAATGTGGTTAATTGTAGTCAGTCACTAGACAGTAGATGTTATTTGTGCCCACATTTACCAAAGAAGTAAGCTGAATTCTCTGCTAACTAACTTCATGAATTTTCAATTTACTTCTGTGAGGGTGAGGTGGGGGCGGGGGAGGTGTAAATTTTATTGCTGGGTGGTAGTGGCACACACCTTTAGTCCCAGCACTAAGGAGGCAGAGGCAGGAGGATCCCTGTGAGTTTGAGGCCAGCCTGCTCTATAGAGTGAGTTCTAGGACAGCCAAGGATACACAAAGAAACTCTGTGAAAAAGCAAAACAAAAACTGTTTATTAATTTATGGTTGTTTTTTTTTTTTTTTTGAGACAGGGTTTCTCTGTTTATCCTTGGCTGTCCTGGAACTCGCTCTGTAGACTAAACTGGCCTTAAACTCATAGACTGACCTGCCTCTGCCTCCCAAGTGCTGGGATTAAAGGCGTCCACCCAGCTAAAATAATTTTAAAAGTTTATTTACTATTATTGCTATGTGTGTTGAGTGTGTGTGTGAGCGTGTGTGTGTGTGTGTGTGTGTGTGTGTGTGTGTGTGTGTGTGTGTGTGTGTGTGTGTGTGATATGTACACAGGGAAGTGCATGATGCTGTGATCTTGTAGTCAGAGGACATCTTTCAGGATCTTGTTCTCTCCTTCCAGCATGGATTCCAGGCATCACACTCGGGTCCTCAGGCTTGCTCCACAAGTGTGTGTGCTGGGATTTCTACCTCAGGTCCTCACACTTGTGCAGCAAGTATTTTTACCCACTAATATTGCTCCAGATCCTTTTTTAAAATGGTGTTGAGGACAAACCCAGGATCTTGCTGTACAGCACTGAGCTAAGTCGTCCACCTCATCCTGTGCATTCTCATTACTGTCTTTAAAGACCCTCTGCTGGTAGAAATGTCACCAGACCTTTGCCTTCATCCTCAAAGTCAAGGTGTCCTCTCTGTGGACATGCCTCTGCATCCACGTGTCCACCTTTTGAAGCACTAGGGATCACACCCAGGGCCTTGTGTGTGATAAGTTAGCACGGTACCACCGAGCTACACCCTCAGCCTCCAAAATGCCCCTTTTATAAAGACACCAGTTGTAGTGGAGTACGGCCCCTCTGATGACTTCAACTTAATTACTTACATGTGCAGTGACCCTGTTCCCAAAGACAGTCTCGTTCTGAGGCGTTAGAGGGTAGAACTTTGATATACGAGTTCGGGGAAAGAGGGCGCAGCTCGACCTATGAGAATATTTCACACGTCGGCTGCCATTAAACCTGAGGTCATATTTCGTTCTCATGCACAGGGCAGGGTCTGCTTGCTCTTCACCTGAAGACACCGAGACTCAGCAAGACGAGGTGGTTAACCCGAAGGCACGTGGCAACAGGGCAACAAGACACTGGGACCCGGTGCCAACTGCACCGTAAGTGATGCCAGTGCTTGGCCTTGGCTTCCCTTGTAGTCTCTCCGCATCTCAGTGTTCTCATCTGTAAAGTGGACTTGATACACTGTCAGCAACAAAGTGCACTGCTCGGGATGAAGATGCGGCAGGTCCAGTGCCTTGCACACAGTGCAGGTGACAAGAATAAGCACATCAGCAGTTGTTCCATAGGGCGAGCCCTACATTCTGTTGCTTCTCAGCTGCTTTAGTGACCGCCCATCCTGGCCGTCTTAGTTAGGGTTTTATTGCTGTGAAGAGACACCATGACCACGGCAACTCATAAAGGAAAATATTAATTGGGGCTGGCTTACAGGTCAGAGGTTTAGTCCATTGTCATCATGGCAGGAAGCATGGTGGCATACAGGCAGACATGGTGCTGGAGAAGGAGCTGAGAGTCCTACATCTGATCCTCAGGCAGCAGGAAGAGAGAGCAACACTGGGCCTGGCTTGAGCTTTTGAAACCTCAGAGCCCGCTCCCAGTGACACACTTCCTCCAACGAGGCCACACCTCCTAATAGTGTCACTCCCTATGGGCCTATGGGGCCATTTTCTTTCTTTTTTTATTTTATATAAGAGATTTTCTAGTCATGTTACATATCAACCATGGATTCCCCTGTCCTCCCTCCTCCAACCCCCTGGCCCTCCCCCTCAAAACACCCCCCATTCCCACCTCCTCCAAGGCAAGGTCTCCCCTGGGGAGTCAGCAGAGCCTGGTACATTCAGTTGAGGCAGGTCCGATCCCCTCCTCCCTGCACCAAGGCTGAGCAAAGTGTCTCAGCATAGGTCCTAGGTTCCAAAAAGCCGGCACATGCACTAAGGACAGGTCCAGGTCCCACTGCCTGGGGGCCTCCTAAACAGTTCAAGCTCATCAACTGTCTCACTTATCCAGAGGGCCTAGTCCAGTTCCATGGGGGCTCCTCAGCTATTGGTTCATAGTTCATGCGTTTCCACTAGTTTGGCTATTTGTCCCTGTGCTTTTTCTAATCATGGTCTCGATATCTCTTGCTCATATAATCCCTCCTCTCTCTCGTCGATTGGACTCCTGGAGCTCCATCTGGGGCCTGACTGTGGATCTCTGCATCTGCTTCCATCAGTCATTGGATGAGAATTCTAGCATGACAGTTAGGGTGTTCGGCCATCCGATCACCAGAGCAGGTCAGCTCAGGCACTCTTTCGACCATTGCCAGTAGTCTACAGTGGAATCATCTTTGTGGATTTCTGGGGACCACTTTAGCACTCTGTGGGGCCATTTTCATTCAAACCACCACACTGGTTGTATATCCAGAGGAGGTGGAACCAAGGGAGCTTGCAGATCCCCACACTCTCCTGACCCCATGACAGGCTGCCCCTGAGACATGGCCCCACCTTTTGCTCTCCTCTCCTTCCCTTGAGCCAGATATAGCAAGAGAGAGGGCAGAGGGACCCAGCTGCTGGCAGCTTCCTTCCCCACATTTGGGACCCAATATTGTCTGTGCATCAGAGGTGGCTTTGTGTCCTTGAGATGCTATGGCAAGTAAGAGAGTGAGCTGCCTTTGCTAGAAAGAGACCCTTGAGAAACCAGAGAAACAAAAAGAGACCCAGGGAATATGGGATTGGCTGATCTCAAGGAGATAGTCCGAAGTGACCAGCATGGTTCCCATGTCTTAACATAGCTGTGCCTTTGCAAAAACTCAGGTGGTGGCACACACTTTTAATCCCAGTACTGGGGGCAGAGACAGGTGGATCTCTGTGAGTTTAAGGTCAGCCTGGTCTACAGAGAGAGTTCCAGGACAGTCAGGGCTACACAAAGAAACTCTGTTTCAAAACAACAACAACAACAACAAAAAAAAAAACCCTCAGAACTATAATTGACAAAGGGTGAATTTGACTATAAGTAAAGTAAAAATAATTTATTGAGACAAGTTTTCATGTATACCAGGCTGGTCTCAAACATATCTGCCTTCTGAGTGCTGGGATTACAGATATGTGCCACCATACCTGGTTCTGGGGATCAAACCCAGGTCTTCATGTGTGATGGGCAAACATTGCAACTAAACTAAAATCCCAACCCTAAAAAAAAAAAGTGAAGAAATTTGTCAGGCAATATAGCATACCCTTGTAATCCCAGCAATTGTGAGATAAAGACAAAATGATTGGTAGTTCAAGGCCAGCTTTGGCTACATGAAGTCTTGTCTCAAAAAGAAAAGAAGGAAAAGGAGGAGGAGAATAAAGAAGTGGAAAAAAGTTAAAAATAAAAAAATTAAAATATTCTACCTGGCTTCTCTGGGTTATGCTTCAACTTGCTTCCCTATGACTTCCTCCCCAAGGATTTCCAAGACTCTTGAATGTTCCAGAGACCCAGGCCCGCCCTCATGTGGCAGCTTTAGCTGACAGGCACATGAATTGAGTTCCCAGAAGGACATGGGTGATATTAAACGGAGGTGAGTTTTGTGAAGGGAGCATCCACGAAGGCATGACCAGGGAAACAAAAAGCATGTTGGAAGTCCTATGAGTGGAGAGCCAGGCCTCCCCCAGAAAGGCTGCCCTCCGAAGCTGGGGTCCAACCAGATGGCGGCAGGGAAAAGAAATTCTACTCGGGCTACTCTCTTGCATTCCTGACTACAGCAAATGTCTCTCATGAGCCAGACCCAGAACCCACAGGGCATCTGGCATGTAGGCCACGTGACTACCCACTTTGGGTAGGAGTAAGGCAGAGGGTGGCACAGGGAGGGATGGTAGATGGAAAGAAGCTGAAGCCACATGGGGAGAGACCTTTAGGACCCGCTGTTACCCCGAAGCTTCACCCCAGGAACAGCCAAATATGCCAGTTTTGTTCAGGCTGGGAGCTCCTGAATGAATGACAAATTTGTGAATGGAAATAGGACACGTGGGCGAGGAGGGTCTGATTCGCACAGGCTCTAAGAACCAGGTGAGTCGTTCCCCGGGTCACTAAGGACGATTTTCTGAGACCTCACTCTGGGCCTTACATAAACTGTGGACATGAGAAGGGGTCACGGTGGGATGGGGACCAGGGCACCTGCACCTGTGGCTTTTTTGCTGCTATGACTGAATACGCGTTGGTTCGAGGGTTCAGTCCATCGTGATGGGGAAGGCGTAGTGGCAAGAGGGCAAAGTGGCTGAGTCCTCACGGCATCCACAAGCAGGGAGGGGGTAGTGTCAAAATGATCCCGGCACATGGGATGATGCCACCCATATTGGGGACAGACCTTCCCTCTCTGGTTAAGCCTTTCTGCAGACACCCCCATAATTACACACAGAGGTATGATTCCTGGTGATTCTAAACCCAGTCAAGTTAACAATGAAGATGGGCCATCACGGTACCCCCGCCAGGCACCGGGGAACCTGTAAGCCCTTCCTGGACACGTCCTCAACAGATAGGTCCCTAAGAGCTACCTCCTCCATCTGGGCTGCTCAGGGGTACAGGCTGGGTTTCTGGGAGTCAGCTGGGTGTGAGTTCCTCGGGTGATAGGAGGGACAGCTGTGTGCAGAACTGTGGTTAGTACAGTGTGGACATCTGCAAGGCAGCTGCCGAATTCCCCCATGCGCGCCTCCTGGTGGGAGGAGCAGAGAATGACCACAGATATTTTCAGACTGCCACGGAGACAGGGCTGGTGGCAGCTGGTGGGACAGACTTGCCTTCCGCCCCTGGCTGGACAGAGATGGGCCTGGCATAGTGATTGAAACCTGCAGAGGTGTGCAGGTGTATTCTGTCTACCACATTGCCACAAGTCCTGCTCGGCTTGTGAGTCACACCTCCAGACAGGAGTTGCAGAAGCTTTGAGGTATAAAGCTATGACCGGGAGGGAGGGCGAGGAACAGAATGGGAAGTCGACGGCCCAAGTCTGGTCTCCTCCTTAGGGGTCTCTCCCCTGGGTCCTCAGACTGTGTGCCTCTTCCTCTACCTTGAACTAGACTTCAACAGGTAGCAATTCTTGTTACTGGATTTCACATGCAGGAAGCCGAGCATCACTGAAATGAGGGGTAGGGGCCTGGCTGAGGGCTCGAAGACAGAACCCCAAAGAATAAAGAAGTCAGGGACCCTCAACAGCCCCTTAATTCCAATGTTCCTACATTCAGACCCCATGGTGTACCCTTCATTCCCCTACCTGCCCTCCAGCATGTCCCAGCTCTGGCCCCATGTTTTACAATGCTCAGGAAAGGAGGCACCCAGCTTAGATAACCTTGTTGGTGCTAAGGCCCTTGCTGGACAGCGCAGGGGTCCATTCTGGTACATGGTTGGGCGCAGGATAGCAGGCAGTAGAGTGATCACCAGGGGAACCTGACAGGAGCCATTGCTGCTGTCAACACATGTGTTTCTAAGGACATTGACACTGTCCTTACTCATAGGATCTGGGGCGATTCCTTGAGTTGTAGAGCTCTGTGAAATCTCACCAAAGCTACAGCTCCTGCATCCCTAACTCCAGCATCTCAGTGGGCATCTCAGTGTCTCAGTCCTACTTCCTGGGAACCTTTGACCCAAGGACAGCTTGCCTAGATGGGACAGGAATGTAGTATAGTACACTGTCCATGGGTAAACGCAAAGGAAGTCACTGAGAAAATAACTGATATACTTGGATCTTAAATGTGCCCCCAAAGCACATATGCTTAAGGCTTTGGTCTCCGGGTAATGGTGTTGGGAGGTGCTGGAAAACTTGAAGGGCGAGGCTCATTTAAGGGTATGCCTATCTGGACCAGAGTGCCTTCCACTCACCAGCATGCCTATACACCTGGCACTCAGGGGTAGAGGCAGGAGGCTCAAGGCTAGTTAGGGTCTAGCCTGGTCTCCATAGTGAGCTCATCAAGAAAGTTAAAAGATTTCGCTAAGATGAGGAAGTGACAGGAAGTCGGCTCTCTCCACTTCCTGTCAGTGCTGTCCTAGAAGTCTTAGTTAATGTGGCAAGATGAGGAAAGGACATAAAACACACACAAACTAGGAAGGAAAAGATAACATTGTCCTCGCCTGTGGATGATGAAATTGTCTCTGTCTAAAATATGAGACATTAAAAAACTGGAACTGCTAACTGCTTATAAGACAGGATAGAAAGGCCAGGAAAATCTTGGGGAAACGAGAAGGGGCAAGAAGATCCCAACCTGCAACCCAGCTGAAGCCTCTGCCAGCAGCAGGGAAGGATTCTAACACAATTAGCAACTACTTGAGGCTGTCTCCCTTCCCAGCCATGAGCCTACAGTTTTCTAGGAACCTCACCAAAAAATTCCACTTACAAGGAAAAGATGTATCCGAAATCCCTTAAACAACTTGTGTGCCTTCTGGCTTTACCTTATCAGGTCATAATTCCATCAAGGTGTCTCCAGAGCCGCCTCATGGGTTTCTCATCAAATGAGAAGGAGAAGGGGAAATGACTTAGCAACCTTTTGAGATGTAACTTGAGAGTCAGTTAATAACATGTACGGCCAATGCTAAGACAACTAACTACTGACACTTTTTTGGAGATGTCTCTTAAACCCCATTGAGTATGTCTCTCTTCAGGTCTGACTTCTGAGACTCCAACCAGGCATCCTGGGTTAGGGATCAGAAGAACCACTGAGTTTCGGGATCCCCACTTCATCCTCGGGCTTAGGGGCAATGAGAGGAAAGGCCCCATCCAGGGAGAGGCAGATGGCAAAGACCTTTAGGGAGTTCACCCAGCCCACTGCCGGAATCAGCCAGAATCCCCAATAGAGGGATACGTGGTGTTGGAGAGCTGGGGATAATCACAGAGACAAAGCCATTGATATAAAACTATCCTGAGAATTTTATGAATGCACACAAGTTGCCTTATGGTTAAAATATGAATATGGCTATTTATCTTGCCATAACTTAATTATAGTGTAAAATACAGATTCTCGATGCACTCCATAGCATCACATGGCCACACTATTGCATAGCCCAGATACAGACCATATCTACCAGCACCGAAAGTTCTCCCGGGCCCCCAGGAGGCATTGCAGAAGGCTGAGAGCAGGGCCTGAGGGATGAGAAGGAAGTGGAGGGAAGGGAAAGGAACTGTGTAGACAGCCATGTCTTAGCCATTAACGGATTGCCAGTGCCCAGTCCCTGGGAAAAGAAAGTCAGAAGGGACTGGGAAGAGAGTGAGACCAGCACCAACCACCAAGCCTGACAACCCGAGTTTAATCCGCAAGACCCACGTGATGGAAGGAGGAAACTGATTTCCGAAAGTTGTTCTCTGGCCCCCATGTGCATGCCGTGGTACACACCTGTCCCCCCACCCACAAATGAATAACTATTTAAAAAGAGGAGAGAGAGACAGGGACAGAGGTACAGATAGAGAGAAAAAGAGAGAGACACACAGAGACAGAAATAGACAGACAGACAGACAGACAGCAGCCCTGGGTGGGAAGAGGCATGCAGCTGACTGATCTCCTGGTCTGGTGAAGCTTGCCTCTGGCTTCAGAACCCAGGGCTTGGAGGTCACTGCCAGCTCTACAGTGTGCCCACCCACCAGGGTTGGCCATAATGTGAATTTCAGCATAACTACATTGTTCTCTCACGAAAGCAAAACAAAGCAAAAAGCTCAACCACAGTCCTAAAATCCCAACAGGTTCTAGGTGACAAAGAAGGACAGTCCTAACTAACTGTATTGTCCCATGAACAGTGGCTGGCGGGGGCACGGACTGATTTTCATACGTCAGCGGACATCCTGAAGCTTGGCAGTATTCCTGGAGTCCAAGACGTTGGACCTGAAGTCCGCACCGGGAAAGGGAAGCAGGTAGTTCAGCCATGAGAAGCTCATCTGTAGGAGAAAGCTCAACCCCGAGCTCGGGTTGACTGCTCAAATTCTCCAGCGGTTTCTGCTGGGTGTGTCTGAGTCGATGGCGTTCCCTCTCTGCTGTCATTTGTTGTTTTACTTGGAAGCCTGGCCCAAAGGGACACTCTGCTCCCGAGGGGACACCCGGCTCTGCCCAAGGCCCTTTCTATCGTGAACTCCAGCTGACTGCCTTAACAGTACTTCCCCGGCTGATATCCACTGGATGTCTTCCTATCTATCGATTGGTCTATCTAGCTATATACTTAATAGATTCGCTCATTCAGAATGAAAAGATGGCTGTTCTAGAACACTTTTTGAACTGCACAGCATATAATGGGCATAAGTAGGCTCTCCGAGATGCCATTTCTGTTTTGAAGGAGTGACTCTTAAAAAAAACGAAACGTGGCTTATGGGATGATGGTAAGGCTGCTGGTGAAGGGAGAATTGATACCCGTGACCCCCAGCCTCCTACACGTCAGCAGCTGGGATAACAAGGGGATCAGTGTGCGTCTGCAATTCTGCAGCTACTGAGTTGGTATGTAGAGGTTTGGGGATCTCTGCGCACTTTCTTTTCTGCTTTTTCTTGTTTACAAAGACTGTTCATTGATCAGGGTCACTGATACCGTCACAGACTCTTGCTAGGATGTAAAACTTCCTGTGTATATTAGACGCTGTGAGACCACAGTGGGGAGACAAGAAAAGGGGAACACTGTAAAAATTAGGAAAAGAAAAAAGCTTGGTAGCTTAACAATGTCCATGGGCAGGTGATCTTAATATGCCACATTGTGCCATTTGTG